TCCTTTTTCGTGAACACTCACCCTTTCAAGCTGGCCTTTGATGGATTGTTCTCCTTTTCCTTCACTAGAGACTCCAATTGAACTTTCAATTTGATGACCTTAACAACAGGGATAAACAATAGTAATGAACCCTGCAAACGATAGGGTGTGTGAAGGAGCGTGATCTGGATCGCAGCCGAACAATCCTTCCTGCCAATTGCTGGGACTCAGGATGGCATCCTGATGGGAGGCCTTAGGCAGCGCTCTAATCCACTCTCCATCACACGCCCTGTGGTTTGCAAGGATAATGACTGTATTTGCATAGGGCTAGCTGTTTCTTTCAGATAAAAGCCCTTATCCTCTTACTCATTTGACCCCACTGGGACTCAGAGCTTTTTTTGATGAATGTTATTTCCCAGTTTTCTATTTAGCGTACCTTTTGCAATTCTTCTGCTTTTTCCGACAATTCCTGTCTTGTTTTCTGGAGCTCCTTTTCCAACTTCGCTATCTTCTCCTTAAGCTCATCCACGTATTGAATACCATTGACTTTTTGCTGAAACATTAATAATCACTGGGACATGGGACTCTGGGATTCAGTGGGATTTTAATTAATTCATCATTTTCAAAATATATTATAAATACCATTCTATATCTCCTATTTTTCTCCTTGCACTCAGTCAGTTCTTTCATTGTATCTTGAAGATCTTGCTTCAATTTGGCTACCTGAAACAATAACACTGTAGCCCAAAGATCTTTACCAGCTGTAAATCGTGAAGTTACAAATCGTCGCACCAACCGACCTCAGGCAGCTTATCCGAGTTTGATGCTCTACCGCCGCTGACTGCACTTGACAGTTCTTCACGTAACCTCACAATTTCATCAGCCATTCTCTTTCGTTCTTCATGGAACCGGCCTTGCGCTATCGAGGCTTGCCGCTGTTCATGAGCTTCTGTGGCATCACGGAGCTGAATTGATTATTCGAATGTGGTTATTTTGTTGTGAAACCCAATATCAAATCGTCCGAAGTATAAGGTGGCGGGAAAGTTCTGTCATATTTTTTTGAAAATAGACTTTCTTTCTATAGAGATGAAAATATTAAGCATTGTTGCACCATTCTTGCCAGCTATGGTGTACCTCGTGTATGCCATCGCTACACTGTGCAATCCGACATGACGCACCTTCGACGTCATCTCGATTTGTACTTGGGCTCGGGTCCTTAAACTTTTCTGGTCCCTCTAGAATTAGTTCGGAAGACAATAAGCAGTTGGAGGGGGTAATGTCTAAGCTTCACGGGTGCAAAAGGAGAGAAATCCTGCTCTGATGACATGATGTTCCGTTCGATCATTTTCTAAGGATGTGGGCTACACTGTGATTTTGGAGGAAGCTGTGCGAACAAATCGTAAATCTTCTTTCTGATCAATGATTCTCTCCAGATCTTGCAGCTGCTTTTAGGGATTGAAAGTGGTGCAGCTTCTTCTTGCGCTATTTACAGCAACCGCAGCTCCCACAAGCTGAGTACACAAGAAGTTACAGACTTCAATTCTCTTCAAAATGGGTCTCCCGCCTTGAAGCGTTGGCGTCGTGGAAGACTGTGCGATGACTGGAGCATCGCCCCATGCCCCTTCTTCATTTTCGGCAGCTCTCATGCTCAAGCTCGGTGGCAGACGAAAGGCCTTTGAGGCAGGGGTTCAAAGGGTCGGTGCTGACGTTATAGGACGCAGTACCACAAAAGGAGTAGGAGAAAAGTAAGTACACTCTACTTCGCTGCGGACGGTTGGGCGTGTCAGCCAGTATGAGTGTGTCACCCTCTTTGAGCTGTTCTCTGCCTTCTTGTTGAAACGGGCATGCGACAAAAAGCAGTAGAAAACAAGTAATACGAAAGGTATGATACAGTATTGTCATTTGCTCGCTTGAACAACTCGTGGAGAACGAGTTTGGCACCGCGCCAAAACGCAGCCGCACGAATCAACGCCCAACCGTCCGTAATCGAACTACACTATAGTACCGATAGCAAGAGTATCACCTTGGGTATCAGTTTCCACTTTATCGACTACACGCCTTGAGGTTATGAGCAAGCATTTCAAGTTTTAGAAAATATGACAGAATTTCCCGGCAACTTTTCCGGATATACAAAATACCTGTCCTTGGAGATCTTCAATTTGACGAGTCAGCCGCATCTTCTCTCTAGGCCACTCTGACGATTGGGCATCCCTAAAGGTAGTATTCAGGGTTCCAACTGTGAAGCAATTGGAAAACCAAGAAATTGAGTCAAAGCCATAAGTATACTGACGACTCCAGTTTTGCTATGGTGTCCATTGCCTTTTTCAGCATCTTTCTTGTTTGTTTGCACGTTCCTCGAGCTCATCTTTTACTTTCTTCATGGACTTCAGCTCGTCCAAGGCGACACTAAGCTGGTTTCTGATGTCGCTTTCCTGAAAAATGATGGGTTCGTAGAAGAAATGCTTGGTGCTGGCTGTGAAAGTGGTTTACCTCCTGCTCACTGACTCGAGCTTCTTGAGCTTTCGCCATGTTTGAAAGTGTGTTCTTGTATCGCTCGACATCCTTTTGGGCTATAGATAGGTCGGTATCCAAGACAAGTACCTTATGTTGGCTACTTTTCACTTGTTCTTGCAGCTGTAATTGATCTATTGTTGAAGACATACTATGAAACAAGGTGGTATTTTCCTTTGGCGAAGCAAATCTCCAGCAAATACAGATGAAAAAACAACTTAAACAAAAACCACAGAGTTTAGATTGGTACTGACTTCGCCACCTACCATTGAAATCCTTGTATCTTTCTCATTAACCATCGAATCAACGTTAGCCGCGGAATGCTGTGTATTCTTCTTGTAGAGTGCGTATATCATCGCGCAATCGATCATTGTCCTCACTAATCTGTAATGTTCACTTCTTTTTCATAGCCTTAAGTGACGTCTGGATAGTAAAGGCTAGTGACCGCAAGAACACTGTAAGCCTACTGCGAGACAAAGGAAACTGCGTTACGCAGGGAAACTCTTGGAAGCCAAGGATGGTGGCATTTTGCGGAGGGGAGGGGGCTCGCTATGGGTCGAGAATTTTTTCGACTGTTAGTAGTCACAGGAATAACGACTACACGTGTGTTCAAAGTGTGCTGGCGTGGAAAGTAAGAGCCTAGCTTCCTGCCCCTTCTGATCCACAGAAGCTGAATGTCCTTGCATAGTTGTGGACCAAGATTACGCGCTCACAGAGGCGTTTGGAATGCTTCGCTGATCACGAACTGGCAAAATGCAAGACATACCAACCTTAGCTTGAGCCGCTTCAGCTGCCTTCCTTGCATTCTTTGCTTTTATAGCCTCGCACTGTATCTGATTTATTTCATCCCTCAATGCATTCACCCTTGACGACAACATTTCCACATTCTCTGTCTTGAGGTTGAGTCGATTTGTGAGCTCCTTCTTTTCTCTTGATAGGCGTTCCATCTGATACAAAATATGTTGGAGAACATCGACGGCACAACTTTGCAGATTAACTTTAAGGATTTAACATGTAGCTTTTTCCCCAGTGAGAAAGCTCGTGGTCGTTTTCTATACTACTTAACCGCTGAAAATGCTGCCAAGCTTACTAATATGGATAGGAATCTTTGTGAACATTATGGATTTATAAAGCTGTGGATGATGGGGCGTGTCAGTGAGGCAGGTTGGCGCGCCGCCAGCTCGTTCTCCACCAGTTGGTAAAGCGGGTAAGCGACAACAGTTGGTAGGAAACGAATGATACGGAAGATATGATACAGTCTTGTCGCTTGCCGAAAGATAAAAGGAAATAAGCGGCTTGTCGTCGCGCTAAACCCATCTACCCTGACACGCTCCATCATGCGCGGCGAACTAGACTGTATGCGCAGCATTCCAAGAAAGTAGCGCTTCTGTGATTCACACTGCCCATGATTTTCGATATTTCAATGAATATGCCTCGAAATTATGAACAGACGCTGTTTTTCTAGGAGAGTGGAGAAGTTTTTTGATGTATTTCAATCTACTTCACTCTGTTGTCTCGATTACGGGCTTACAGTTGAAGCGGTAACATTTTAACAACTCCGGCAGGCAGTTACGAATTAATCTCCTGAAAACCGTATTCTCACCGTTCTATTGCAAAGTTCGAGCTCGTCCTGATGAGCTTTCGCAATTTCCAAAGCCTTGCTTTTTCGTTCAATAACATCCTTCAACTCGGCAATTTCTTCCTTCAGCGACATAACTTCCTCTTCAAAACCAGGACCGGAATTCTTCTAAACATTAAAGCTGGCTGATTTACAAGCAGTCCTTTTTTTACAGTCTTTTTGTGATTAAAGACATTCATTTCTACAGAAGGGAATCTGCTTCAAACTAATCCAAGTATAATAAAAAAACTCAACAAATGTGTGGTGATTTTTGTACAAAGAAGTTGTTTGTTAAAGTTGGTCACGATTATTTGCGCATGAACGGTAAGGGCGCGTTCATACTTTGCGGCAATGTCTAGCAGCGTCCACCAGCGTCTAGGGGTGGAGAGTATGGGAGAAGTAGGAAGGTAGCAGACTCCTGGTGGAATTGCGACTTATGCAACCGCATCGTACAGCTGCTAAAGCACAGAATTATGCAATTTAGTGCATAGCATTGTAAGGTAGTACGGTGCGGTCGCACACGCCACAATTAACGACGCCCAGTCCAGCTGCCTACTCCCTTCCACTTCCCCATCTCTATCAGCAGGCTGTTGGCCTATTTCCCCACTCTCCATTCCTAAACGCTGGTGGACGCTGGCGTTTGCTAGATCAATATCCATAGTTCCCTAGTCGCGCAAAGTATGAACGCAGCCGAAAGCTTTCGAAAAAAATGCAGTATGCAGAATATACCAAATCCTACATGAAGATTTACCGCCTCAAATGTAACTGACATTAGAAGCAGCATTTCTCCACTTAAAGGTTCCTTTACGGGCACAAAACTATGGAAACTCAGTCTTTGGTAATAGTAACTTAGCAGGAAGTGACACACGGTACAGTCGAATTCCGTTCGATTCCCACCGGATCAACCGAGCTTTTCACTCATTCGGGTCTCTAGGTTGGTAAGCGACTCATTTGAGAACATAATAGCATCGTCAAATACATGAGTCAACCCTCCAATTTATTGAAAAGCCAAAACTCATCCAGAAACCGAATCTTGAATAGAAAAGCAATGCATTTCGCTCAAGTAGGTATTGTATCTAGGCCAACGCTTTACCCTTTCTAATCTTTGATGACTGTGACAGAGCGAACTAAGACGCGAATGTGAGCACCTACCAGTAGCATGTCGATCCGTGTAGTCAAGTCACTGTTGTCCTTGCGCAACTGCTGCAGCTCCTCTTCGTTTGCTTTCAATACTGCCGAATATCGTTCCTGGAACTCTTTCTCCAAAGATGCTCGCGTGTCGATCGCTAAACTGGTTGCTGCCTCTGTTTGGTCCTTGGATGCCGCCAAGGCTTCCTTCAACGATCTGATCTCATTTTCTTGCTCCAATGCTAAAGAATCCACATCTTTCGAAGCAGTGGCCTACAATGTTCAAGCGTTAGTTTTTAACTCATGAACATGAAATACCCTATTATTCTTACTGATAATTCCTCGATCTTCTTCAACAAGGTCACTTTCTCTTCCTTCCACCCTTTACTGATGTGGTTATAGTGCTCGCGGACTTCTTTTATAGCGGAGTCTGCCTGGCTCAGTTCTCCACGAAGACTTTCTATGAGAATTTGCTGCCTCTCAATTTCGTCATTACATGAGTCCAGGTCGCTCTGGAAATACTCCACCGCTTACAAGTGAGCATTACATTTGTGAGGCAATAAAAACGTGGAACTTGAGGAACAGTTTTTCTCCTAGTAAGCTGAGCATATGCTGATAACCACTGAAAAATCACCTTAGTTTGTGAAGCCGCTTTTCTCGATCTGCACAGCTCTTCATGGAGCTCATCAATCCGATGCAGCAATCGAGACCTGTCCTCGGGGTTTGTCTCCATTTCCGTAACTCTTGACTGAAAGGTATTACTTTATGGAAACATGTAAGGGAACATGGTTATTTGGGAGGGGATAGTTCCAAGTGCAAAGTGGGTAGGTCGACAGTCATAGAGGGTACCAATCCATCGTGTCGAATATGAGTGACAAAGAAGCCAGAAATTCGACGATTTTAGAGACTCAGCGATCTGGGAGACTGCAATTTGAGATGCTGCACGACGAGGAATACATATATATGCATTGGTCCGACGACTGTAGAGATTGAGCGAACTGGCGATTCGAAAGACTCGGCGATTCTGCGCTTTGGGAGATCATCGAGTCTCCCAAGTTGCCGAATCGCTGTACTTCCGAAACTGCCAGATCTCCGAATTTTCGTAACTGCTACCGGCGCTAATTGAAATTAATCCGCTCCTTTGGCAGGCAACCACCGGAAACACTGAGTCGCCCATATCGCCGAATCGCTTAATCTGCGGAGTAGCCAGATCGATACCTACACTTTCTTCGACACGCAATATCAGGTCGCCTATCCCAAAATGCTGAATCGCCCCAATCACGAAGTATGTCCCACGTATTTGAAACGTGAAATACATACGAGAGTCACGCGGCAGGCAGTACAATCCGTCACGCATGAGAAGAATCAGAGAATAGCGTGTGACTATGGTTACGGTTCTATGATGGGGTGAGTCAGTAAGGCTGAAATCGGCGCACCAGTTGTTGAAGAGGTAAGCGACAAAAATAGTGGAGAACGATTGTTATGTACGATATGATATGGTTGTCGCTTGCTCACTTCAACGACTTGTGGGAAACGGATTTGGCGCTGCGCCAAATCCTTTTCTCCTGACACGCCCCATCATTCGTAGCGAACAGGAATGTACATTCACTGCCACGAATGACGAGTGTGTAGTTTTTTTCGGCTCCCCAACATGGATCGCGGAAAGGATCCACCTATCAGCAGGGCAGGTTGGAGATCCCCAGCGAGGTCAAATTTGGTCGCTGGAGGGAGGGGGAACGGGCAACAGAATCGCTGCTTGCCGCTCCGCGGCGCGCGACGATGGGCGCGGAATTTTCTTGACTCGTGTTAACCTGTCGATTGGAGCACCGGACTTCATGTAGATGTCATGTAGTCATCGTAGACATTCATGACTATTTTCGGTTCTGAATTGCCTGTTGTCGCCATCTACTACCTGGAACCATCGTCATTTGCGGGCGCGACGTCGCACGCGACGCCCACCAGCGCGGTGAATTACGATTCTCTTGTCACATACCCGGAGTGAGGGCGACCTGCCAAAGAATGAAATTTTGAGGGGATCGTGCTCAGCACTTTTTCCATAAGGACAGGCGTCCTCTGCCCAGCAGTAATCCTACAGTATGCAAGCTTTTGCGGGAATTATAACATTAGGAGCATCCCCAAAATAATTATGATCTATGCTGCTTTATCAGCCTAGCTTTTGCCTTTTTTATGAACAAGAGAGTAGTTTAGTACCTTTAAAAAGGCGTTGCCTTCCCGTAACCTTGCAATTTCGTCATTGAGCATCGCGTTCTCACGTTCCACATTCTTTAGATTGTTCTGAAAAATATCCATCGAGTAAATCATTTTTCGAATTTATGAAAATGTCACCTCCAAAACCAGAGCTCCACTTTCTACTTCATGGAAACGAGCTACTGAAGCTTTCAGCGACTCAAAAGCATTGGAGAACTCTTCTTTTTGTTCCTGAATACAGTTGGGGTGGACCAGGAAAAAAACCGTTTTCAGAAGCTCAGTTTTCTGTATCAACATACCTCGAGCTCCTTGCAGCGTTTAGTCTTAGCAGATAGCTGTTCCGCAAGCGACTGGTTTCCTTTCTTCAGCGTAGCTACCTCATCAGAACGATCGATAGGGTATGGTTCGTAAGTCTAAAGAAATTGTAACAACGATGCGACATTTAGATGAACGAGTCTCTGCTAACATCGTGATGAAGCAGGCGCTAGCTGAAAGGTATATAACAAGACAATCGTAATATACCGCGCCGGAGGGAGTGACGTGTAAGGCCGCGCGGGACGGACGAGTTGTCCTGCCTGAGAGCCTGGATGCTTTATAAAGATGAGAAAATTCGATACAGCCCACTGTTCTTTGCTTGGATTCATATGAGCATCGCTGCTCCACTCGATAAAGTGGTGACGTCGAGAATTTGCTGTGCATGACTGCGCGACGTTACGTTAGCGGCCACGCGACAATTTACGATTGTCTTGTCCGTCTCCCGGTGGCAACTGGCGTCGCCTTTCTGGCGCTGTATGGGAAATATTCAATTCTTTCAATGGACGGCTCGATCAAACAACGTTGTTTCATGAAAACGCATGACAAAGTGTACATACTTGAACTTCCGTGTCCATCTTAGCAATCGATCGTCGCTCATTCGGTACGAATCTCGGTATCAAGAAGCAGTCTCCGGCATCTGGCTTCTCTTCCAGATCCATTCCAGCTGTATGAATTTTTTCGTCCTATAATACGGTGATCGTAAACAACGACAACACCTAACGACGACGTCCTAACATACGGTGACCCTTCGTAAACAGTCGACATCATCACGTTTCAAACTTTTGTGTTATTAAAAGAAAAATCGCTGGAGTTCGGCTTGAAGGGGGCATCGAATGGCACTCATCTGAAGACCACATCGTGAAAAGCTGTAAATTCTAGCCAAGGGAGCTCACTCGCACCATTTTAAAGCTTGACAGAAGTTCATAGGTCTTATCAAAATGAGACTATTATTTAGTATGAACTCACAAACGAACTGACGAAAGTGCTAAATGCCCCTTCAAGCCGAACAAGGCCGAAAAACCTGCACCACAAGTAGGTTAACATACCGATGCCTGTCCGCCGGTCTCTTCAATTTCACCTAAAACGCGTTCTCTCTTGCTTGGCGGTGAAAGGGACCCTCTTCTGCCCAGCAATAAGAGAGCGTTTCCAGGAGCCCATGTCTGTCGACGTGCTTTTCTGCTCTAAATTGTATTTAGTCCATTTCACTGAACTACAAATCATGGCTGAGTCCATTTATAAGGGACTCCATACAAAAGAAGCAGTGAATAAGCGCCGTAAACAAAACCTACAAGAACAGAAGCTGCTTCCGCTGTGCTTCTTCCATTGAGAATACCTTTCATCAATTCGGATAACTTCATTCTTTGCTCACGAATCCTTTCTTCTTCGTCGCTTTCTTTCTTCGTCTTCGTTTTCTGAAGAAAATTTCGTCATTAAACCCAACAGGAACAATGAGACTCCCGAACTGACATGACTAGCAGGTAGAGGGTGAACGAAGAGGGCACGTCGTACGTTGGGGGTAGTATTTGGCTTTGTGAAAAATGTTTTCGGTTGTTGTTTTCTCAGTTTTGACCGGTTCTTGGGCATTATACATTCCCCCCTCCCCACCCCAATTCCCGGGGAAAAACTACAGAATTTTCGCAAAAACTCTGGAAAACTGGTAGGAAGTCGGAAGACGGGAAGATGGTCGTAGGATGGGGAGGGAGGAGGAGGGAGGGGACGTGGTACCAGAAGAGGAACTTTTGCTCGTATTTTGCGAAACATTTCCCGAACAACAGGACGCGCCCTGTGAGTGAAGTGGGGCTCAAACTCACCGAGTCGCATTCGTAGTTGGTAAGAGAGGAATGCGTGCGGGAGAAAGCGCGGCTCAAGAAATGACAGACATGACAAAGGAGTGAATGAAAGCGACGATTTTGTTTAAAAACAATCCACTGCCAAAACTGGATAGCGATGGATTTAGCCCGGAGCACTGGTTCTCCTGAATCCTGGATTTTCTAGATCGAAGTACCCGAATGTGGTCAGCCCATGATTCGGCAGATTCGCGTATTCTCCCATTGCCAAAGTAGGAGCTCAACCGTAGGCCGCGTTCATAATTGGCGAATTAGGAGGCAACCCTGAGCGAGGGGTCGTTGAGTCTTTTAAGTAGACGGATCGCTTGATCTCCCAGATCGCCGGATCGCTCAATCTCCGCAGTCGCCAGATCCATACCTATACATTCCCTACCTTCCTCGTTGCACAATCTTTCAACTCGCCGAATCTAAGTATGAACGCGACCTTATGTATGGACCAATGGACCAATACCGTTGAATAACGGTTGTCAGGAAAGGAAAACGATTAGAAATGAAAAGTAATGGACAATGTTGAAAAGTTGACTAAATGACATACCTCAAGTTCTTGTTTAAGCAATTCAATTTCGCGTAGATATTTCGAAAGAAGTCCATCATCGTTCACTTCATTCACCACTGGTCTTGTCACGATCTTCTTTGCCAATTTAGCAAACTGGAACGAAAAAAGGTGATAAATCGAAGATTGGTGGAACCAGATATCCTTTACTGGAAAACCTTGAGTGTAGAGTTGGTCTCAGATATTGAGAATGGAGCCACACAGCAGATTATTACTGTCTTCGAATTTCCTCCAAGCGAAGGCTTCAATATCCTTGTCAACTTCGAGTCGCGGAATGGTATGAACTTTCTAGAAATAATCACAAGTTGTTCAAAATCTGATTTAGGCTCTAAATTCCCCTCCTGAACCAGAACTGCAAGCGAACTTACTGGTTGTCGGCAAGACTAGAGACCACTTTTGAAAGGGCAAGGAGTGACCTGTTTATGTTTGCACCCTCCTAAAAATGACTGCAAAAATGGTGGTGAAAAGAACTAGGTGCGAAAAATTACCTTCTGGCGTAATCCTTGGGTACCAGCTGCTGCCGCGTTTTCACTTCCAGCCAGATCAACAAGGTTCATGATCGAACATCTGGTAGCATTTCCACCAATTTTAACTAAACCGTAAAACTCAGGGGATATACACCATCAAAAAAAATTCGATGACGACAAGGATGCACAATGGGAACCTTCGCTCAAAGGTGCTTATGGTGTAACGTCAGGTTTGAAAGACACACGTGGTATACTAGGCAAACTTGAAGGGCACATGTGCGACTACCTGGTAGACAGACTTCCCCTCCTTCTCAGGGGGAGGCGTGCACGAATCCATAGCCAACCTATGGGTGCTACTCAAATCAAGGTAAAATTGCAACGACAGGGCACGCACTGCTGTTGGGGAGAAAATTTGCGAAACACGACTACTCCCCCCCCCCCACTCCCCATCCCACTTACCGTTCTCCTACATTCCCACAGTTTCACCCCTTTTTCTGGAGTTGTTTCCCGCGGAGGGAGGGTGGATAAGGGGTACATAGCGCACGTGAAACAGTAAAAGCCTGGAAAGGATAACAACAGAAGACATTCTTCACAAAAACAAGCATTACCCTTTGCTCTAAGGCATACTGTTCTTTCTGCTCGGCATATTTACCCTATATGTCGTTTTGGCACTATTTACCCTTTACTGCCCCAGTCATCCGAAATCAGGCCAGTTCCTGACCGACTTTTTTCTCCGTGGGCAGAATTTGCTGAAAACTTGGCTCCAGGGGTAGTTCGACCCGCTGAACACGAATATCGCATCCGCTTAACCCGAAACCTCCTGGCGCCCGCTCCCAGGGGTAGTTCGACCCGCTGAACACGAATATCGCATCCGCTTAACCCGAAACCTCCTGGCGCCCGCGCCACGGGCGCCATGAGAGTAGCTAAATGAGGAGCAAAGGGGCTTCCCAAGTTAATAGGTCAGTTTTGAAGACGTCACCACGAGAAACACTCAATTCCCACACGATTCCGTGGGAAATCCCATTTCCCACGAGCTTGCGTGTGAAAGCTGGGCGAGCGCGGGATTTTCGAAGAAGCGTTGGTCATGCATTTTTTCATGCAATATGGAAGTGGTATTCGTGATCAGGGGGTCAAACTACCCCTGGGAGCAAGTTTTCAGCGAATTTGGTGATTTCGAGTATTTTGGCGCCGGCGCCCGTGGCGCGGGCGCCAGGAGGTTTCGGGTCAAGCGGATGCGATATTCGTGTTCAGCGGGTCGAACTACCCCTGGAGCCAAGTTTTCAGCAAATTCTGCCCACGGAGAAAAAAGTCGGTCGGCCTGATTTCGGATGGCTGGGGCAGTAAAGGGTAAATAGTGCCGTCGTTTTATATGTCACTTTTTCTTGAGGGCGATGCAGGATGAACCCCCAAAATGAGTGGGATTAATCTGCCTAGCAGAACAGATTTCGGCCTCCGGAGAGGGCGCTGCGTGTATCGCTTATCGCTTCATTTGCAAAGCACAATGTGAGGCTACTGCGGTGCTGCATGGATAAATGGGTGCATGCACGCAGCCGCATCTCGCCGTATCATAGCGGCGATTACGATGCCAGTGGGGAACTTGTCCGAAATTGCTTTCTGAGTCTGAGAACATAGGCTTTTCTATTCATGTTTCTGGAGGTTTCACTTCGTTTTTTCATCATTTTCCCCACTATATAGCACTTCTGCTAGCATTTTAGACCGAGTACCAAAGTATCGTGCCGTATGTCTTTAATATCGTCGTCGTCGTAGACTGCGCATGGTCTCTGGTTGCTTTCATATTTTGCGGAACATTTTGGGATGTTTCTCAACTAGCGGCGAAGTTAAGTGTTGCACAACCTGACAAACAGAAAAAAAGGAGCATACCGTCATGCGACTCAATAGTTAATCTTATGATTGTGTGGGATCGTGAACTTCGCTCGTTCAGAAGTGTTTCGCCAAGTTGACGATGTTCTTAAAAAAGCTACTTCAAAATGAGATTAATTCTTTAGCAACGATATTTTCAATAATTCAATAGAACACCATTTAAAACGGAACAGGACCTTGTGCCTTCACCAGAAGGCTCTCGACTTCAGCTATTTCCGTCACCACAACTTCTTTCAGACCCTCTATTTGAGCGACGCCATCTTTATTCTCGTAAATTGGCAAATCTACGACATTTTCACTTAGAAGATCGCGGACTCGCTCGTTATAAATCTCAACGTATGAAATCCGCAGCATGTAGTTCCGGTCCTCGGACTGAAAAATTAGAGATAGGAAGTATAAAAAGGGAGTAGATAAAAAAAGACCTTAGCGATTGTTTCGAAGAGAGCTCGAAATGTTTTCTGTACCACGCCATCTTCTACGTCAGATCCAGTGAGAGTATGCGTTTTTCCTGAAAAATCCCAAATTGCTCCTCTTTGGAAAAAGTATTTAGAAAAGCGAAATGTTCACCTGCGCCGGACTGCCCATATGCGCAGACAGCTGTGTTGAACCCTGCCAGTGCTGAGTCAACTATTCCTTTCATAACACCATCGTAAATATCTACATTTGTGCAGAGTTGGTCGAAAACTTCATCTGAACATTACTCATCACTAATCGGAACCTGTAAATCATTAATATTAATATTCTGTTTATCAGAATTCCTCGAGGTACAGCATCGCAGGGCGAGAGACTCCCACCATCAGCGCAGTTAGGGCAGGAAAAACCTAGCCGCGCCTGCTAGCCTCCTTTTTTCCGATTCTCTCAGAAATAAAAACGTTCTTAGTCGCCGGCATACGCTCAAAATGCAACGCCAGAACGATCCGATGGTCAGACTGCTCCAAGAGAGCTGTGGGAGGAAGAAATGAGAGCTTTTGGTCACTCAGCAAGCAACTCCGTAGAATAGAGGGGCCACGCTAGAGCTATCAGGAACGATCTGCCCTCTTCTAGCTCCCTAGTAGGACGTGTTTCATATGCAGCGCCTCTGAAGAATTGGAGAACAATGAATGCATCGATTGGGAAAGTCATGGAAGTGTAATCGTGAAAAGGACCAAATGTTTTCAGCTTATTCACAAATCTGATCATAATATCCAGGTCGGTGCTGTGCGGGTATGAGATATGAGGGATATATCCTTGATCGCCGATCCCTATCATTGTTAACCAGTTCATGTTCGAACATACTCTTATGTCACGGACTAAACCCATCCGATATGCACGCGAAGACTCAGATGTGAATAACCAGAAGACTATGATTCAAATCCATGAAAAATCAGCACAAATTGACTAACCAAAGGTGTAAATCTCAGTGCCGTCCTTTTTCATTATGTTCCTCTCACCATTCTTGATCCATTCAGAATGACCGTCTCCGAACCCACTGAAAATAAAAGCTAAGAGTTTAGCTTAGGATAGTTGGTGTTAGTCCAATAGGTAAAAATTTCGCCTGACTCTCTCTACACCACTTTGGCCCTTCCCCTAACAAAGGCTCAGGCTTAGCCGAAGCCGCATGGGAGTCCTGCAGAGCAGACGTAGCCTTTATAGGCCAAGTCTTGGTCTCGAGAATAGACGTTGTGGTAGTTCCAACTACGAGCCGATGTTGGTAGAAGTTTTGAAGACCTAGGCCTTGCAACAAAATGCCCGCTTGAGCCAACAATCAAACTTTCTCGAACACGTATTCTTGCAAAAAAAAATCACATTGAGGCATCTAGACAGAATCGCTTTAGAATCCGAAAATATGCAAGATCCGCTTTCAGAATTCAACGCGATTGTCCACCAATGTAATACGCTACTGACTGTGTCTTTATCGCTGAATTTGGAGCCAAGGGCCATGATTTCTGGGAAGGCCTTGCACATCTACCGAACTGTTGAAAGCAACCTTCAGAACTGTTACAAGCGAAACCCTGTTTCTGATTTCATCAATTAATCCGAAGCGCAGTCTATCCCTCTTCAATTTCTTTAGCGTTTATGTTTCGTTTTACTCATTTTGGCGCTATTCGACTTAGAGGAAACATTTAGCACTTTCGCATATCCTTTCTATCACCTCATGTCAAATAAGGTGCCATTTTGGCGAGACATGTAAATTAGTGGTACAGCTCTAAAGCGGCACGAGTGACCCAGTTCTTAACAAAAATTCCACAGGGTAGCCTGTAAAAGCTGAGGTGAGTACCGTTAAAAGCCCCCACAAAGACGAACTGCATCTTTACTTCCTATCCGCTATTTATTGCAGCGTCTGGGTAATTTCCAAATTTTTTTAACGTATTTTACGTAGAGTGTTATTCAAGAAAAAATAAAGGGTAATTTATAACTCACGGCCTTATTCTTGCAACAACTGAAATTTTGTCCTCGACCATTGAATCTGGAATATGATCATGAGCTTTTAGACAATAATAACAACTTGAATAAACCAGGATGCTAACGTAGTTGGGGGGGGGCCACGCGGCTCGCGGCGAGTGATGACTCATCGGCATACTTGAAAGCGCGAATCTAGCAGCCAAATTAGAATAAAACAAACAAGATTCACCGGGAACTTGCTGAGAATGCCCACAGAAGCTGAAAACAAATGGACTTCGAGTAACAGGTGAAGTGAATTGGTAGGGTGAAACAGGGCACATCGTTGTTGGGAAATCCCCAGTAGGGGGGGGTCGTATTTGGTCGCCAGGAGGGGGGTCGTATTTGGGCTGAGAAAAATTTATTTTGATAGTTGATTTTTCTCGCTTCATGGACGTTGTAAAGGGGGGGGGGTCGTATTTACGTTTTGGCGTTGTGGGAGTGGCGGTTGACTTTTGGTGATTTTCCTGTTTCACGTACTATATGCCCCCCCCGCTCGACAGCAAAATTTTTGGTAAAAAGTAGGGAAGTTTTCGGGAAATTTTGGAAAAAAGGGGCAGGAAGTTGGGGAAAATCTGATTGTAGAGGGGGGGGGGTCGTATTGTCTCGCGGCTTTTCCTGTTTCACATGTGTATTTTCCCCTCCCCCTCCCCCGCTCGATTCGATGAGGAAGGACAGAGGGCTGGGGGGTCGTACCAACTCCCAAAAAAGGGGGGTCGTATAGAGTCGACTAAAATCCCCAACCAATGATGTGCCCTGGGGTGAAATGCCTTGTGATCCTATTGTGCGAAAACCGCTCAAGATTCAATTCCTGCGATTTCCTAGTGAGCTATCAGAGTAGATTCCTCTTTGGGTTCTGCTCCAACTCATTTAATGGTGTCACTTTTACTTTTTCTAAGTCGAAAAGGCTCACTTAGGCCGGAATTAATTCCCTTGTATATCAGTCAAGAACCTTCCAGTGTACAGTTTCGCGTTTTTCAGCGTTAACTGTTTTACCTTTTGTATATAGCACCTTAGAAATGTGTTATATTCCTGCCCTAAACACGAAATTTTCTATTTTGCCGAGTATGGAGCAGAAGCTGATGAGTCATCGTTTGCCGCGAGCCGCGTGCTCCCCCCCCCGAATACGAGCATCTAAATCTCACTGCAAAAAATGAGGAAACCAAAACAAACAAAACAACAGTGAAAAGTGAGAGTACAAAATTTAAATTTAAATTTTGCCACGCTCTGCCAATTTGCCTGCGTATCTTAAACATTGAACGTCGAATAGTCAGGCAACTCGATGATGGGCGGAGCTCACGCCACGCATTCAATTCGAAGCGAAGCGGCGCGGTGTTGGGGATGGCTTTGTCGCATTTTCATGCTTATTTTAGCTTGTTTTTTTACTCGGAGGTTCATTTATGTTAGATGAGTCAGCGCTGGGCTGGATTCGGTCCCAGGTGTCGAACCTAAGGGGCTTATTGCTTGATGTGCTTTCCAACTCCAGCTCACAGTTTGGTTATGGTAAAGCCGCTTTTAAGAACTCGTTTTTTTTACCAAGTCGTTGTCTTCAAAGGCCTATCTCGTTTGGAAACCTTTATTAGCCATTAATCTGATCAGCCGGCCATCTTACTGATAGATACGGTTTCACAATGACAACCCTGTATGTCAAAGAACCGAAAAATTCTACTTAGATGCGCAAGTGCTACGAATGCCGGGCACAGGAACTGTATAGTGCTTCATTTGCAGTGTTGACGCTTTCAGCGTGCATTGATCATTTTTAAACGTGCTGACTGCCACCTTGCAAGTCGCCCATATCTCTTATCTTCTTTCTCAAAATTCGCAGGTCTCTCTTTCCTGTTTGTTTTTTCCGGGATGCAAGATAATGGACTGGAAGTGTTTCCTCGGTCTGCGGTTATTTCACGCATGCGGCGCGATGACCGTGGGGATTTCGACGCCCTATATTTGGAAATGGCTCCGCTGGAGCCAGATGATCCCTTCCCTCCCCTGATCAGCCGAAGGCCGCGTTCATACTTTTTGAAGAGATTTGGTGGCTTGAGAGAGCCCAAAATGAGGAAAGTGTAGGAATCGTACTGGCGACTGCGGAGATTGAGCGATCCGGCGATTTAGGAGACTCCGTGTGTCCGCCGATTGCGCGCTAGAAGTGTATGGTCGGTGCTGGTCCTTAGCAGTTGTAGACGGCTCCGGCGATCTGCCGAAAGGCCGGATTCCCGACACCCCCAAGTCGCCACATGGCCCAGTCTCCTTAGTGCCAGATGTTACCATATACTGCATACACACATACCTATACTGTCCTTATCTCGCAGTCTCTCATATCGCCAAGTCTCCCAAACTGCTAACACTCCCAGCTGCATCTCCCCAGTCGCGAAGTATGAACGCAACCTTAGATGAGCGCTCATGGTCGGAGTCCGCATGGCTCCTGCACTGCAGAACGTTTCCACAGTTGTTTGGGTGAGCAGCGCTGGCAGCAAAAGGCAATACAGTAACGTAGTAGTTCAAAAAGGCATAATGTTCGACCTTCCATGGCTCTTTGTGGTTAGAAACGTCTTCATCGTAGCGATTCCTTGTTCATGCAGAATCTGCTTTTCGTGCGATGATCGCTTGCTCTGACTATGTGAACCATCCTTTTAATGATAGCGATAGTACTGCGCTTGTTTTGATGATCAGTAGCCCTTTTAGGACGTGGTAGTCCTGCCTGCAAGCATGCAAGATGTACTGTTTTCGCTGCTATGAAGTATGTGACGGCTAATGCCGTTTGGACTCCAGAAATTTCGGCACCGAGCTCATTTTCAAATTGCCTAAGTCACCAAATCCGCTAAAAACTTGTATATAGGGGTAATTCAACATCCTGATCACGAATATGACATTCATTTTTGGCGCTGGCGCTAATGGATGACACTACGATTATCTGCGCTCTGCTAAGGCTGAGCCCAAGGTAATCGTAGTGTCCTCTCTTGGCGCCAGTAACAAGAGTGAATCTCGAAGTGTCGGTACCCCTACTCGGTGCCGAAATTTCTGGAGTCCAAACGGCATCAGCCGTATGTGACGCCGCCCGCTCGCGACAACTTTTATTTTTAATTGCTATGTGATGGTGTGGTGGTGAATGAGATGAAGGGGATCAAGGGCTGACACAAGCATGTGAGAACTCGTCCGACCACGCCCTTTTTTCGCCTTGCACGTACAAGCGTGGTCAGCATGGAGTTCTATATGGGGCTGATTTACACTGCTTTTCCTTCACTTTTGCATTCTTTACCATCTTTCCATTAGTATTCGAGCCGTACAAGTCACCATTTTTGAACGCGTGGCAATTTTCTAAATGTGAAACGTGGATGACGTTCAGTTGGACGTGGGCGTGTCGAACGTGGCCGCACCACTAAAGTCACGTCCACTTCGCTGTTGACGGATCACCCATTTATCTCCTCTCTCACCTGTCGTACATCGAATTGTCGTTGGTCATCAGATTCCTCGAGCAGGTTCTAGTAACCTGGTCAGTGGTCACCACAACCTCGCAGGTATCCGGCTCACCTGCTTTTCGAAACATTGGTTGTCAGCGTGTGGGATGGCGCTCCCTACTGCCTTGCGTGTGGTAGGGTAGCTTCGAGCGACGCTTTTTTAATCACAGTGACCGCTGTTTATCCTGCTTGCATAGGACGGAAGTTGCTGAGGCTGTACATTAGGGCAAAATGCTTGCAGAATGAAGAAGTGAGCATGGAACCGAGTTTTCCTCACTATGCCATCGTTGTTCTGAGTGCTTCTGATGCCGCACATTTCTTCTTTGCTCCGGGCTAAGTTCTTCACGGTATTGATTTCCCGACGGATGCACTGGTTAGGACACCGAGAGATGTCAAAAACAGGTGTTGTTTGGCCACGAGGGGGGGGGGGACATTTTGCACTCATATTGCTTCACTAGTTTCGGTTTACAAGTCTCACTCTGGTGAAACTGTGAACTCTTGTGAAGCTGGAGCAAGCTCGTCGAGCACCATGGTGAAACCTGTCAACTCTTGTAAGCTCATGAAATAGCCCTCTAGATGGCTCGACACGTCGATGGGAAGTAGCAAAAGTGCAAAATGTCCCCTCATGGCCGAATCGCGTCCGAAAACTTAATGAAAGTGCCATGATTCGTGCAGCGCTCTGCTCTCAAAGCACGCAACGCAACCGAAGTTGTTGGGCAGATTCATTGACAGCTTATGAGGGGGTCCTATGAATACTTCTTCTTGGAGTGGGGAGGGGTCGCATCGACTGGGCGACTTTCCGCGCCGTGATGCTTGGCCCTTTACTGACCTCGCTCGTTATCTAATGCTCTCTCCCATTTTCCCAGATCGCCGGATCGATTTTCCCTTTAGTATGCAGAAAAAAATGAAAGAAAAGTGTTCCTTAATTTTCTCTACAATCTACATTCATATCTAGTCAATTTTCTTTTGAGAAATTGGTGGTTACAACATTTTTGATTGCTTTCAAATTCCCTTTATCACATTTCTTTCTTTCATTCCAGCTAGGTCATATGTTTAAGGTGGTTGTCCTCTACGCTTACTCGTGTTTGATGGAAACTGAAGCCCCATAAATAACTTGTGATCTGTTCAGATATGAATTTTGGTGATACACTTTCGGGTGCTGAATATTTGGCATCTATTTATGGAACTGAGAAGGACAAAGTCAACTGCTCGTTCTTCTTCAAGGTAATTTTCATATTTCAACTTTTGTGAGACGGGGTGAGGGCGAAATATGGAGGCGTTAAGGGGGCAGTAATACTATGGAGCCGCAATCGCGTAAGCCGACGTTATCGTTGGACGATAACAATCTGTTGCTTGCTAGGACATGTCGCATGACGACCCTTTTTAGTGACATATCATCGCATGACGCATCAATTAAGAGGAAATCGTTCTCTGGACACACACCCATATCCAGTCCTTTCCTTCCAGTCCTCCTTTTATGTTGGACGGCAGTGCAATAAGTAGAAGTGTTCTTTCGTTCCTTTTCATTTTATTTCATTGCAAACGTGCTTTTTTCGTATACATTGGCCTCACAAGAAATACACTATTTGGCCGCAATCATAGTGCCACCGTTTCTTTTGAGGCTGTGGCATCTGACAATGAGCGCGGACGCAATGACTGTAATGAAATGACAGTTTTGCTTGCTTGGACTGCTGTCCAGCATAAAGAGAACTAAAAATAAATTAGAAGGGGTAGGCAGGATTGCTGGAGGTGCGCGGTTGTTGCCAGCGGTAGACTGCGATAGAGCGTTTGGTTAAACTCCGCTCAGCTTTTCCATAACGATAAGGCAGCGTTCAGACTTCGCGACGGCAGCGCTTCGGTCGCGCGTTCGACGCGATCGATGCAGTAGAAAGCATGCGCATCGATCGCGCCGAACGCGCGACCGAAGCGCTGCCGTCGCAAGTCTGAACGCTGCCTCATCGTTATGGAAGAGCTGAACGATTGTCTGAACGCTGCCTAACGTCTGCTTACACGATTGCCGCCCATAGTTTAGCTTCCTCAGGAGCTCCAATGCAGCTTCTTCAATCATTCAGCTTAAAACGCCCGCGTTTAGCGGCATTAACCGCACATGTTTAGACCCGGACCTTGTCGCCATGGTCGATATGCTCACCGAGCTCACTCACAGCTACTAACGTTTTCACCCACGATTTTGCTGAAGAACTTTTACCACAATCCTGTCGTCGATGTACGGCAAGCGGATGCATTCGATAGTGAGTTTTTCATGCATTTTATTCGTTGCAGCAAATTTGATGCACAGCAGCGAAGACTTCGTGATGTAGCGCTACCACTCCTATAGCGCTCCAACGCTGTGGACGGGTATGTGGTCGTAGACGGGTATCGCTCGAATGCTGGCCCGCTAGTGTGTTGAGGGTACAGAAAGTTGAAGGAACGGAGAATGTGTAAATTAGGCGATCCTCTCGCCCCTGCTCCCGATTCCTCCTAAGAACGCTTGAACACATAACGCCAGGGCTATATCAGCGACTCTGTCTAGCGGATGCGCTCTCGCCTATAACCGTCCGCGTGTTGTAAGAGCTGCGTGCGTCAATCAACCCAGTGTCCGAATGCCGTCTAAATCTCATTGGAGTGCGAACGAAAGCGACTTTTTCAGAGGTTCGGGCTGAAAAAAACGAGGAAGAGCAAAAATTTCGCATCAATTCTATGAAAGTTTTCACGGAACTGAACGAAAGTCTGTGCTATGTGAAATCTAACTTCACATCGTCTCTACTCACTCGTATGTTGAACCAGCAGCGTAGGTTAGTTAGCCAAAAATGAACATGAGCTGTTTTCTACAGACGGAGCGCCGCAAAACAACAAGCTTAGTGGTTGCGATCTATGATATGTGCTGAACTGCAGTCCCTTTTTACTTACAATTTGGCTGTTTCAGCGGACGACACATGAAAAGGAGAAGATGTTGAAATTAAAAGCCTGCTTCGAATCCCGGTTGAGCTTCCGCGTAGGCCAGCGAACCCTCTTACCCTTTTGGGGCGGTAAAGGACGTACACCGGTACCAAATTCGTTTAAGGGATAAGGGCAGTGACTTGTATTAGGTTGTCCGGAAAGTTCTCAGCGTTTTGTGCACCTATTTTTTGTACATTCACTGCTGATTAAAAACTCATTCTGCCTTGCTTCTCCTGTAGAGAATTTCTTGCGCTATCTGATGGTATAATTGCCGTTTCACCATTGCTTGATAAACCCCCTTTTTTCAAGATTTTTTCATGTGAAAAGAGCACTTCGGACGATTTTTTTCTTCGACTATAAATTGGGGCAATCCGCAATCGAAACAGCTCAACAAATTAACCAGGTGTGGGGGCCCAATAGTGTGCGGCAATGGTTCAACAAATTTCGTTCTGGAGATTTCAGCCTTGAAGATGAACCTCATAGCGGTCGACCTAAAGCAATATCTGACGAGGATTTTAAGGGGATTTTGGAGGCTGACCCATCCCAAACAGTTCGAGAGATTGCAGAAAGCTAGGCGTTGGCAAATCCACTGTTGCAGATGGTCTGGAACGCATTGGGAAGGTGAAAAAACTCGACAATTGGGTGCCCCACAATCGGAGTGACCGGCAGGAATCGGCACGTCTCGAGGTTCCTTCTGCATTGCTTTTGCGCAGCAGAAACGACCTGTTTTTGGGCCGAATTGTCACCTGTGATGAAAAATGGGTCATGTATGATAACAGGAGACGTTCCGGACAGTGGTTGGATTTCGACGAACCACCGAGGTAATTTTCAAAGCCGAACCCTCACGAAAAAAAGATTCTGGTCACGGCTTGGTGGTCATCGGCTGGTGTGATCCACTATAACTTTTTATCACCAGGCCAAACCATCACAGCAGAACCCTACTGTGAAGAAATCGACGAATTGTACCGAAAATTTTGTCAGATGCAGCCAACACTTATCAAAAGAAAGGGTCCGATTCCTTTGCATGACAACGCCCGCCCACACGTTTCACAAATCACTATCCATAAATTGAACGAATTGGGGGTTGAAGTTCTACCTCAACCGCCATATTCTTCAGACCTTTCGCCAACCGACTATCACCTTTTCTAACATTTTCAGAACTCCTTGCTGGAAAATCATCAATCAGGACCAGGCAAAAAAGCCTTAGTGGATTTCGTGAATTTTCGACCACCCAGTTTTTACTTTGATGGGATTTCTCGACTGCTGTCACA